AACCCATGTCCTGCTCACTTATCTCACAGTTTAACCGAATATAAACATGACTCTTTTAAACCAAACTAAGCACATAAAAGCATATGAATTCGGCCAACAAAAGTACAAAGGAGCTCAGCCATTATACCTCGATCAGGATTTAAAATGGAAAAGAAACCAGGCTCGGGTCTCGATCCTTTGCTCTCGGCTTCTTGTTTTTTTTGTGGTGATACTCCCGGCTTGCTCTCAGAAACGGCCCAGCCTGCTGCCGCTCTCGACCGTGCCCCGCCTGCTCTCAGCCTTCCGGCAATGCTCTCGACCGCTGGACACGACTACTTCGGGCCTGCGTCAGTCGCGGATGAGCTCGGGTCGGACTCGTCTGCAGTATGATGACTCTCGGCTGCTCCTCGTCGCCGGAAATTAGAGCTTGGGTTGCGGCGGCTCGCATCTGGTTCAGGTCATCGGCTCTGGGGAACTTTTTCGATTTGCTGGACAAGGTCGCGGCTCATCAGACGGGGTCGGATTTCAGAAGTTGCGGCTCGTGGATGTTGATGCTCCCAAAGGTCGCAGCCCCGTCGGAGATCGAGGGTCGCCGTTCACCTTCTCGCCGGAAAATTGGGGCTCAAGGTCGCGGATTGCTGCTTTCATGGCTGCGGGAGTCTAGCTTCGTGAGGAAGATGCTGGGATTTCTTAAGAAACCGCTAGGGCTTTTGCTCTATAATTTCTTTTTCAAATTTTGGCAAATGGGAGAGAAAAAGGGAAAAAGAAGCGGATGAAAACGAATAAAATGAAAATAGAAAAGGGAAAAAATGAAAAAGGTATACAAGGGCAATTAAGTATTTTTACAAGCCAAAATGGTTATATTTCCTTTTTTTAAAAAAAGTGGCTAGATTTCATTTTTTGTTTTGTTAAAGTGCTATAAAGCACCATTACCACTTTTTTAATTGTATATCGATTTTGCTGAAGCTCAACATGCATGAGATTTTGGCGCATTTGTTTTTCTTTGTTAGGATTACAGAGTAATGCTCACATCGTAGTTCTTTTCTTTTCAGTCTTTACCTTAGGTAAATTGGTTCTGAGAAAGTAAGGTTTCCCATGTCCGTAGCAGCATCTTTTACAGAAGAATACTAGCATAACAAAATATAAGTCTTAATCAAATTCACGTGAAATATTCCCGCGAATGCGATGAGGTTTAGTTTTATGATGTTATTTGGATTTTGTGCTAGTCAGAACGATAGGGCGTAGGCTTTTAATTTGATGATCTTAGAAACTCATTTGAAAGTGTGGTGAAAATGATCTCACAATCTATACTGTAAAAAAGGATAAAAGATAAGTATCAAAAATTAATTCAGAGAAAACATTAGGATAATCAAAGTTTTTCCCAAGTCAAATCAGATATGATCAATCGTTATCGAGATCAAATCATATTTCGGAGGCAAAGACTCGTCCGTTGCTGAAAAACTGCGAGCGCCAAACGTTCGAAAGAGAAAAACTTATCAACGGATTAGCTTCCAAAACCAATCTAAGTTGGTACATTTATTCCCGTTTCGACTTTCTATAATGAATAGTGTAGTAGGGGATAATGCAATGAACATGGGAATTTCATTTCAAAAAAATAAGGTAAAATAAAATACTTTCGATGGTGAAATGCAATGAACATGTGAAGTTTACATTAGTGAACTACGGAAAATACGTTAGTGAAATGAATATTAGTCCAACTAGTTTGAAAATTGAGCAATTTTATCAAAAATCTGAATTTCAACCAAAAATTAGCATATGAAGTTTACATATTTCATTAATTTTTTTGCCAGGATCCGAGTAAAGTTATCTCCATATTATTCAATTTTCAATACTGTATGAACTACTTTTCATTAATCAAATTTCAATACGTCCAATTTTTGTACACACTTGGACCATTTATTAAACTTTATCATAATCCAAATATCCTTAAGAAGTCCATACGCTGGATGACTCCACAAATTACCACCACTCTTGATAACCTTTAAGAGTAGAATCCCTCGGAATGCGAAAAACATTAAATTTTCCCGCAAACAACACCGNAACCTACGATCCCGAAAACCCAATCTCCGACCATCAAAACCCAACCTCCGACGAAACATACGCCCAAAACCTCCAACTGCAAGAAGTCATAGTGTCCTCCCTAACCCGCACTGAACACCTCTCTCTGCAACTGCAAATCCCATGCGAAATATGCGCCGAGACCAAAAACGACGTCGTCGACTTCTTCCCCGTCCTAAACTGCCCCCACAAATTCTGCACCGACTGCATCTCCAAACACGTGACCGTCAAAGTCCAAAACGCCACAATCCCTACCAACGCCGCCATCCCCTGCCCGTGCCCGGGCTGCAAGGGCTGGCTCGAGGCGGGCTCGTGTCGGGCCGTCGTGGGCCCGGAAGTTCTGGTCAAGTGGGACCGGGCTGCTTGCGTGTCAATTTTCCCGCCATCACAGATTTTCTACTGTCCGTACAAGAGCTGCTCGGGAATGCTGGTGATTAAGGAACGCGATGATGATGATGATGATGATGAAGGTGAAATAGAGAAAGCGGAGTGTTTGTACTGCAATAGGTTTGTGTGCGTCAAGTGTAGGGTGAGGTGGCACTCTGGGATTGGTTGCGAGGAGTTTTTGGCTCTCGGGGAGGATGAGAGGGAGGCAGAGGACCTGGCGCTGCATGAGCTGGCGAAGAAGAATGAGTGGCAGAGGTGTCCTAAATGTCGGTTCTATGTCGAAAAGAGGGATGGGTGCCTTCACATGATGTGCNTTTTTTGGCTCAACTTGTGGAGGTGAAGAAGGTGAAGGGGCAGTTAAGGAATACGAGAAATTACTCACTAACACTAGGTTTATTTTTCTTAGGGAAAATTTTTTTTAACCTCTCGATGTATGCTGTTCTTTTGACTTTACCATATAAACTTTTTTTTTTTACAATTTGCCTCCCAATGTAATCGAAACTGACAGTTTACCTCCTCGATTGAAAACCCTAATATGGTACAAAAGAGTTTTTAATTCAATTAATGATGCATTTTAAATTAATCTTTAAAATTGATTGAGGGCTTTTAAAGCCCATGGCGAGACGAACAAAATGAGGTATGATTTATCGATTTCTGAAAATTGATACCTTTAAAATCGATCCACGAAGATAGCAGGAGCACGTGTGTATAGAAAAAATTTCAATTCAAGTTTTCTGATAATCAAGATATCCGATTTTCGATTGAGAGGTGTCATTTGAAAGCTTGAAGGACGAGTTTTCTATCGAAGTAAATCTTATGAAAATCCAACGGTCGGATTTTGGTTAGTAGCCTAACAAAAAGCTAACTATGGATCAATAGTTTTCTAAATACTGATCAAAATCCGACCGTTGGATTTTCATAAGATTTACGTGTTAGAAAATTGGTCCTACTAGCTTTCAAATGACACCTCCCAATCGAAAATCGGATATTTTGGTTGTCAGAAAACTTGAATTGAAATTTTTTCTATACACACGTGCTCCTACTATCTTCTTGGATCGATTATAGAGGTATCAATTTTCAGAATTCGACATATTATACCTCATTTTGTTCGTCTCATCATGGGCTTTAAAAGCCCTAAATCAGTTTTAAAGATTAGTTTAAACTTCATCATTAATTGAGTTAAAACTCTTTTGTGCATATTAGGGTTTTCAATCAAGGAGGCGAACTGTCAGTTTCGATTACATTGGGAGGCAAATTGTCAATAAAAAAAGTTTATATGGCAAAATAAAAAAAACGACATACTTTGGAAGGTTAAAATTTTTTTTCCCTTTTTCTTATATAATCATTTGAATCCTACTTTTTTTTACCCTTTTTTCGCTTTTCAAAATGATATATATAGCTACAATTTTGATTTCAAAGAAATGTAGTCTTTTTGCCATGTGAAATGACACAATTATCTTATTGGGTAAGTCTACAGTTTCGTTAAGGAACCATTTTGTTGGGATTTTTAACCATTTAATGCACATGCTACACTAATTTACATGTGAATCTAACGGTTAAAAATCACAACGGAATCTTTCCGTAAAGGGACGTAGAATTTGCTATCTTTACTACTAAAAACCTTTACCATAAACCTTTTTGTAATAAGGATAATTATGTCATTTCACATGACAATTTCCACAAAAAGTAACTATATTTCATCTTTTACAACATGATAAGGATATGTATCAATATGAGATAACTAACTCATCACGAGTAATATTTAAACACGTCTCCTCACCTGTGATTCCTTGTTTAATAACCATCCAAGATCNACATTTTAAATTTTTTGAAATCACAAATGAATATATGTCAAGGCTTTAAAATCTCAAAATAAAAAAGAAAAAAAAAAGTCTTTAAGAATCCAGAATGAATATACCCCTTCCAAAGCACATTTAGTAGAAAATAATTAATGCCACGCACTCTAGTCATCGTCTTAGAAACAAAGGGTATTCAATTTTAACCAATTATCACTCCCAATCACATCCCTTATATTTTTACATCAAATCAACTTTAATCATTATATTTTAAATGTTATTTTAAAACAAACTCAAAATTCCACTCAAATATAACTCAATTAACTTTTTCAAAATTAACCTTAGTTATATAACGAATTCAATTAAAACCTAAATTACTTTTATCCAATCACCATGATATTCACGATTGTCTGTGCATATATGTGTATAGGTGCGCATTTCAATTCTGCTATGCATGTGGGGAAGCTTGGAGTTCTACTCATGGCGGTTGCAGGTGACCGTCATGCTCGTTTTGCACTATATGCAGCCCTTTCTGAAGGTTTTATTCTAAAACCAGCAATATTTGAACTAAGATTTTAGTTTTTCTCTTATTCAATCTTGCAAAAGTACGTCACATTTTAAAGTATGTCTTTGCGACATTTTAGTATGTCATTGCAGTTTGGAAAAAATATGAAATTTGAAGGTGATTTTCTCGTCACTGCTGCTGGTTAATTATATATTGTTATGGATTGCTTTGTGTACAGGCGTTTTTCCTATTGTACGCTTTCTTTGAACAATAGTGAAACGTAGCTATTTTACTATGAGTGCGCTCAACGTTATTTGTACACAAATAAACAACTAGAATAGTAGAAGCAATAAACCAAAGATTTAAAAAAAAACTCTTCAGGGAAGCGTCCCACTTCCCCTCAGAACTCTTTCATTGATAGCTCGATTGTGCACATGCGTATAGTTTTAGAATTACAGCAACTAAAACTCCCTTCTAGCCTAACCAACAACTATACTCGAATCTACCAACTACTTCTCCGACCACGTCCCGTGGACTTTCTAACCAACACTTAATCCCTAAGTGCTGATCACAATAATGTTTGAATAAAACAAAGAAAAGAAAACAAAACGACTTCAGTTCTTCGATATGTAAGAACACCGAAAACTGAACCGAGAACTAAAATAAAAGAAGACTTGAAGCTCGAATAGTATGTGAATAATAATGATCTCAGCAGCCTTGATTCGATCTTCAAGTAGGGTATATATACAACTCCTTAGGCTTGGAGTCTTCTCCAAGTTTTAGACATCTTTTCCTTTTAGGAGTCAATTTCCTTCCCAATTGATTCCTTTCAGATCTTGGACGAAATCCTTCATGTAAAGTAAGTTTCCTTGATGTAGAATTCGTGTATGTGATTTAGAGATCTTCATGATTGAGTTTCCAATGGAAATCTCGTGTTTCTAGACTCTTGTAAGAACATGACTTTCCTAAAATAGTCGATATTCCAAATCTTCAAAGATCTTGTGGTGAATCTTTCCAAATCCTCCTTAGATCTTATAGAGAACGTCCAGAATTTCTTATTCACGAATTGCTCATCCTTTCATAGTCCTTGCCACCTATTCCTTGTCCTACAAGAAAGAGAAAACTAATTATGGCATAGAATCAAGCTCATTAATGCATGTGGCATATATGGTAAGTAAATATATAAGATATATATTATGTAAACCTTCTCCTAAAGGTTTAGGACTCCATAGTACACATTATAATAAATATATAACATATATTATTAATAATAAATATTAGAAACTTAATTAATTAACAAGTAAATAAATAGAAAACTTTCCTTTAATTTATTTTGCTTGCCTAACAAGAAAATCTTCTAGAAAACACTTAGGTTTTTTGGATGATATCAAACCAATATTCTTACAAATAGTTTATGTCCAATTAATCTATGTAAATAAACACACACAAATGCACTAGGAAGTGGATCGAATATGATATTAAGGACCATTTCTTTGAGTAGACTAACTAGAACAGATATGGGCTTTTAATTTGATTTACATGGCTTGGCCTTCTCCTTATCACATTATCAAATTTTTTCATGAACCTTAATTTGTGTCATTTTACTTGTTTGTACCAACATTCATTCAATTTTTCGATTTACTTTACATTATTCTTTTATTATTCATTTTAAATTTATTTTTTGAACTATCAGTATGTACTGCTTGCAAAATGAATGCATCGTAAATGACTATTTTTATTCATAAAACTAAATCATTATTTTTTGGTAATAGACCTTGTGCTCGGACAAAATTATATTGCTAAATGGAGTAACTACGAATTTACGATCATTTATTTTTTAAATATCAGCATGTTTAATTACTTTTTATTCAACTCCTAATGAATGAGATCGAGATTTATTGAGTCTATATTAATTTAAAAACTTTGGACTTTAGTCTAATTCATTAGTGAATCAATTAAATGATATGTCAGATTGTTTAGTTACTTTCCAATTTTATGATACAACATTTGAATTTTATAAGAAGCAAACCTGAATATAAAACAAGCAAAAGATGAACACAAAGGTCACCACTTAGATCAGTGTCAGTGTATATGAAAAAAGAAACAGCTTTCGAGATGTATTGTTGTAATACCAAAAACACAAAGCTTTTCTTCATAATTCATTCAAATCTTCCGGCAGATTTTGCAGTTTTCCATTACTTCAATTCTATAACTAATACAAGAACTGAATTTGTTTCAGTTGTCATCTTGTTCCCGTTGCAAAAAGTTGAGATGAACACTAAGAAAATATAGATAGATAGTCAGTACTGAACTAATTAAGTAAGAGAAATGAAAAAAAAAAAAGGCAATACAGCAAAATTCAGAATGAAATATGAAATAATATACAGTTTCACAATCCTATCTGAGTGATAGTTGTTGGTTCACAATTTCTATTACCCTAAGGCCTCAATTGATTGTGAAAAGGGATTAAATAACACAGCTCATATCATCATATTTATCCATAAAAAAAATCCCCTGAAATGATTAAGAGTTGCTACTGTTAATCAGTATCCCCAAAATCATAACATAATCTTTATGATTGTTTCCCTACTATTTTCCCAAATCAATTGAGCTTCGAAGTATATAAAGACACGTTCAGTCAAAGATAGTAACAGCAAACAAATGATGAGACTATTTGACAGCAAAAGAAGTATAATTACAAAGTTTTCTCACTATGAAAAGATTTTTGCAAAAAGTACCTTGAGGTTTGATCGAGTTACAGAAAAAGCCCAGCTACCTGCCAAAGTTACAAAAATATCCCTGAGGTTTGGTAATTGATTAACTGTAATCTTTTTATAATTTTGAAGTGAGTGTTGAAATTTTCATTTGCCAATGACTGTAAATTTTCAACAAAATACAGTCTCAAGAGAAGGTAAATGTGACAGTGAGTAGGGCTATTTCCCACTTGAGTTTAGCATAATAGTAAGTCTACTTCAACCATAATAATATAAATCAACTCTACAAATGACCATTAAAAGGAATTTCAATACTGCTCTCAGCCCTGCACAAGAGTTTATAGCAAACAATAATGTCAGAAGTTAGNCAGATAAAGGAGGAACAGAATAGAATACCTCATTCTTTTGATATATAACCCACCAGAAAAAGGTATCATACTTACTGAAAAAAAGATTAAAAAAAAAAAACAAAAAAAATTCTGAAAGCAACTTGTTGAACTGTGTTGTTATATTAAGATCCAACCGATTCCAAGAGATGGTACATACACGTGACTATTGTTGCATCATGCAAATCCCACCTTTTCTTGTCACTAGCATAATTAAATTAACTAACAAATTATTCAAACAAAACTGTTTCTAAAATTTCTAATTGACTATAAATTACACAGGAAATGGGAAAAAGAAAAAAAAAAGGGAAAAAAAAGAAAAATTCAAGAGAAGATACTGCTAATTGTACAACATTTGTTGAGCCAGATTCTGACGTTCGGCTCATCCGAATAATTGCTGATGAACGCCTCACCCAATTACAGAAAGAAAAGCCCAAACAGCACAATCGAATCAAGAATCCCCCTGCTTTGGCCCGCCCGTTATCCCAAAACCGAAACTTTCACTTTCAAAACACCTCACGGGTTCGCGGGCCCCACGGATTCAAGAAAATTTACCCAAACACCAAAAGGCCCAGTTGAGTTCTATTCTTCGAATGCATTTATACATATTTTCTCCAGCAACAACGGCCAATCCTCACCGAGTTTCTGTGGATTCAACTCCATAGCAACCCTAAAGTCCCGTAAAGAAATTGCTCGACAATTTTTTCTTTGCTCTTCAACTTCCAAAGCTTTCCCACTACTCTGCACCAGATTATGATATCCCGGTCTAATGCCATTAATCAGCTTTTGATAACCACACTGCTTATTCATAACAATACCATTCCTAGTTACCTCACTCCTTTGACTGGGACCCACGAGCTCAACACACGACCTAATCAGCCGTCTCATGTAAGAATCCAAACCGTGATTCAATAAGTCGGCCGAATCAAGAGAAACCCCTTCAAGACCTTCTGCCAATGCAATATTCTCCATACGTTCTCTCAACCTCACGCTATCCCACAAAATCCCATCTTTAGAAAACGGGCCTGTATGTCCACCGCTGCCCGTTTGGGCCCGACGGGCCCCACCAGCCCTAACAGGACAAAAGGGAACCCCTAGTGGGGCCCGAATAGGGCTCCTGGGCAAAGAAGGCCCATCCAAAACAGGCTCGTCTTGCTCGCTACATGAAGGAGCTGAAAACCCTGTACTACACTTTAATACTGACGATTTACAGACCCCATTTTCAGAAATGGCGTTAAACTTGCTACTCAGCGGCTGAGGAGGAGCAAAATTAGTTTTCCCGTTAAGCCCGAGTGAGCTTCGTCGGTCCACACTTTTACGGTCACGCAAGCCCGTACGGGCTTTTTTGGGCGAAATTGGCAGCAGCATGTCCCCTCCATTTACAGTAGATGTATTGTTATCCTTACAGTTAATTTGAATCCCGGGCTTTGAAATGTGGTCCCTTGACGGTGGAGGGGTTTTGGAGGTGCAAGCATTTTTGAGTATCGAGCGAATGAGGTGATTGTGAAGGGGAATATTCTCCCGTCCGAGGGTTTTAAGACAGAGATTGTTGAACTCGTCTTTGTTCAGTTTTAAACTCAAGAATCGATTCAGGTAGTGAAAGTATTGTTTGGAGCCATCGGGCCCGAGTTTCTTCACTATCTGAGCTTTTAGCTCGGCTAGGTTGATCCGTGAATGATGATGATGAGGTGGGTGCATTTTGTTATAACTCTCCCAGACTATGAATCCATATAGCAGGAAAATACAGTGATACAAGCCTACAACACAACACACAGAAGTTTTAATTCATTAGGGTTTTTGAGCTAGAAGTACTTAAAAAAAAAAGGAAAAAATAAATAAAATCCAAACAGCAGAAAATCCCTAAAAAAAGCCCTAATAATGCAACATACAAAAACCCCATCTTCAAAAACGTCAATTATTATAAACATTACATCAATTAGAGGGTTTGAGTCTGGCCCAGAGATCTCAAACTTCCAATTAAACTCACTCTCCCTCCAAAAACCTAATTTCAGAAGAATATCAAATTCTACAGTAGTAAAATTCAATTATTGTAATGAACCTCGAAAATTAGATACCTCCCTGAAACTCCAAGTAAACCGCTCAGCAATTCTTTTACAAGAATCATCAAAATTCAACAGACAAACCAAAATGCCACTCCATTAAAGAATGATTCAAGCTTAAATTCTGAACTTCAAGTTCAGATTTTTATGCTCGAAATCCAAACTTGAACAAATATGAATCAACGGAACACGAAAGACTCAAACTTGAACAAAATTCCGAGTTTGAACAGACGTGAAAACAAATGGGTTCACCTTATTGAAGCTCCAAGGACACAGATTTAGAGCATCACGATCACAAGAAACTCTGAGCTTTAGTTTTATTGAAGTAATTGTCTGAAACCCATGTAGCTTTTTTCCACCATTGCTCCTTGTCCCTTACAAAATTCTGCTGTGCATTCTCTATTTACTCTCTTTAATTCTTCCCATGAAAAGAAGGAAAAAGAAATTGTGAATCAGAAAATTGAAGACCTCTTTCCTCTGTTTTTCTCTTTCTGATCGTAGTTCTTCGACACTCCCTTTCTCTCTCTCTTTTTCGTTCTGTCTGTGCCTCTTTTNGCAATTCTGTTGGGTGCAATAAGCGATGTCCAACTTCAATAACTTGTATGTTGTGCATAATATATTGTACGTGACTCTGGTGAGAAGAAAAATAGAGTGGCAAGATCAACATATGATTAATTGAAATTTTATTTGCTTCACATCCCTAATTTTTGCGTGATTCCTACTTGCGATTGTATTGGCCAAATGGAATTGAAGTTGAATGTCACTCTCGTGCAGTGCGAGTGGGAAATAAGGACATTAAGGTGTTTATTACTATTTATTTGTATATATAATATGTTTTGGTAAGAAATAAGATTCTTCACATAAATTTGAGAAGGAAGAACAAAAACTCTTGTTGTGGTCAACACAGAAACACCTTCATGGATTATGAGAGAATTGTGTCAAACACTTTATATAATAAAAATATTTGGTAAAATCAAATGATTAATCAGTTGAAAAAAAATATATTCTTTTTAAGGTTACCTTCCTCTTATCAGGCTAGAGTTTATCTGGACCGACCTACACCGAGTTAACCACTCAAACCGGTCCACCGAACTATTATGGATGCTACATAAAAAATATATTCTTTTTAAGGTTCATTTAATAATGCTAATTGAAGAATTCTTTATACTTTTGTATTGTAGTTTTGCATTGCATGTGACCAAGATTTGTGGCAATATCATGCAAAAATCTATTGCAATCCGAAGTACGACAACAATTTGTCACAATTATCTACGTATTGAGACCTTTGCGAAAACTATTGAATTTTAATTGCTCCGTTATTTCTTCTCCGGTGGGAATCATACTGATATCAACATTGATTTAAATTATATAACTTAGTACATAAGAAGATAAAAAGGTTAAAAAATAAATTTGTTAATAAATACATGAAAAATATTCATGTTCATTTCATAATAAATAAATAAATGAATGAATGAAACGTCACCTATTTAAGATGCGCCCTTCTATTTTCCATATTATAGAACTCAGCTGTTATTGAGTCTGCATCGATCTTCATAGTAAACTCTCTTTCGATGTAGATAATCATAGAATCTGCTAAGAACTCTTTTTCGATCTTATTTCAAAAATGAGTCCTAAGAAGCTTTATTACTGATTAATAGTATTACTGAGAAATAGTGTTCGTTTTTTGCAGTAAAAATGGGAAGAGGCAAAATGAGATGGATGAATAACCAAATGATAGTGTCGTGTCTTTTTTTGTCTCATCTAATCGCCGACATATATAAGAAATGGTATAAAAATTTTCGAACCTTTTCTTTTGGACAACATCAAACTTGTAAGCTCCAATTGACTCCTCAAATAGTGTAACTCGTGTTAAGTAAAACTTTAGGATATAATTTCTCGACAAGATTATGTATATCATCTCCATTAAACAACTTAAAGTTGTCTCGAGGCTCCAATGCAGAGCTAAGCCTAAGAATTTCTACAGTCCATCGTTAAATATGTTATTCAGCTCATCCACTTGAAAATCTATCATAGCATTACACATGTCAAAGTGGTAATGATGCTCAAATCTAGTATAAAACTTCTGGTGGCATGAACGTCCCGTAGTAGATCTATAACAAGAACCCATATTTGGTATTTTAATACCATTCTCTTCACAAAATGATAGCAGATGTGTAAGAAGAGTATCAAAGCCTTATTCTCTCAGAGTATAAAACAACGATTTTATAGTTGACACAAAATTCGTTGCATTTAAAATATAAGATGTCTTCTCTTGCAAAGATTGACATAGCAAACTTTTGAGCGCTATTATCTTGTGCATAAGAAATAAGATAAATATGGAATCAAATGATCTCATCGTAATTAAAGCACATTTGAATTCCCAACGTATAAAATTAGAAGTTGCTTTTTCCGCCATATGTTCGAGCACTGTAATCACAAAACAATACATATCTATCATACTGCAAATGAACTCAAAATAAGAACTCTAATATGTCTTTCTAGCTCGCTTGAAAAACAACACGCACATTTTCTCAACATTCTTGATAGATTGCAAGGGTTTCAGCGATACAATGATAATGTTGCTTGGCGGCTGAAAAGTTGTCACATGAATATATATAAACCTAAGATTAACATGAAAAGCTTAGCCGAGTTAGCATCTCTACATATTCACACCATGACATTATACTGCTGGCATGCTTTTTTTCTATTTTAAAACTATGTTTCAATTCACATTTCATATTCTAAAATAAGAAATCTTTTATCACTTTAGTAAGAGTTGGCATCTCTACATATTCACTCCATACATATTACTCCTTGCTGCCAGAATAATATGGCATAAGATTACAATTACAAAGTACTTACGTTAAAAAGTTTATCATAAAATAATACGTACCTTGAAATATAGTTTATCAACGGTATACGGAATTAATAATTCAACAAAAACAAGAAAAAAATGTAACCAATTTATTAATTTTTATTCATTCACATAATCAACAACTTAACTCATACTATTGTCCAATAAGCTGGCCACTAAAAAGTGACATTTGAACCAACAGTTTATTTTCATCATTTTGAACACTCAATTGTGGCGCCTGATTCCCCATAACACTCTCACAATCATTCACAAATCTATCACAACTTTCTATATCAAATATCATGTTCATATAGTCTTCTTTTCCAAACGCCACATGAGCATCCCTCATTAGATTCACCAGATTTTCATACCCAACTTCACAAATCTTGTAGAGATTTTTCAACACCTCATTCCTTTCTGACTCTATGGACTTCACTATGAATTTTAGAGTATTTGTTGCATTGATAACTGTTTGTAAGATGGCTAAGTGAGTGAATCCTTTGATTCCGGTCGTGGGCCCGTACGAATGCTCCGAAAAAAAATCGGCACAGTATTGATAATTGATCGTGTGTTAACATATCTTATTAAGTAACAACTTTTGAGAGTCGTTGAGGCTAAGAGAATTTGGGATCAATAGAAAGAGTATGGCTAATGGTAATAGTAATGAACTAAGAGTGAAATTGGACATTTTTTTATTTTTTTTTTCTATTTTTTCGGGGTTCTTATGAGATTGTTCATGGAAGATGTTTTGGTTATAAATAATGGAGTCGTGGCTAGCGAGTATATGTAATTAGTTCGAGATCACAATAATCTATTAATGATAATTGTATTTTTTCATGTTATAAAAAAATCTATTGATGCAATTTGCGTGATGATTAGTTTGGTTGTTTTTAATGAAGGGAAAATTACGAACCCAATTGTTGCTTCTATTATTGGATTGAGTAAATCTGTTTCTATTGTGTAGATTGCATGTAATCTGCAATTATTTTTTATAAATAATGGTAATCTACTTTTCGATTTTGGCATATATAATTTCAATTCAATCAAATATGGTGTGTAAAGATAGTTGGATGACAGTTTTGCTATGAAGCAACATGCTCTATAGTGGACTCAACTTTCTATATATAACAAATAAATCATATCATATTCTTTGATTACTAGTACAGTACCCGTGCGATGCACGGGGTTTTATTTTTTTCGTCCGTTTTAAAAAGTAATTTTCAGTTAAAATTCAAATTATATACTAAAGGAAAGATCATGCCATTAATAATTAATAAATATAATGAAAATAAAATCTATATATTATTGAACACTTCCTTATATACAACGTTCATGGTTTGATTCTTTGGCTTCATCAGTATTACCAATATCCATTGGAGTTATGAAGTTCTTAAAGTCAAAACGATACATAGGAAATTCACCATTCCACTTGTGAATCTTAGTTTGACCATTGATAATGATCCTCCAAAGACATATCGTCGTTTTATAAATGTTAATGTTGCTTTCCCCTTGGTAGTTTGTCAAGATATAAACGCCACCTTCTTCAATATCGTCGATTAATTTTCAGATATTGTTATCCTCCTTGATTAATCCATTATCCAAAGTCGTTTAGAATGGTGATGGAAAAACTATTGAAAAAGTTTGTTTTGTGGGATGTATTGTTTCTTGTCGATTTATTTATTTATTTATTTATTTTTTTTGCAACATTGGTGATGTTTATATAGACATTATGTATGTGCCATATTATTATGTTTATCCGGTGTTGTTTAGAAATAAAAAAAAAAAGGGAAACGTGTTACATGTGTGAGGGATGGACGATTAATTTGAAGGATATGTTGTCATATCAACGTGACATCATTTTTACCAAAATTAAGGGAGTTTGTTAACATCAAATAATGTAAGAATTTTTAGATTGATTTGATTTTTTTTTTTAAAAAAAAAATTGTTACGAATAAACAACCCAAAAAATAGGATAATATTGTGCAAATTCTAATTAAAATTAAAAAAAATGCTCAAAAATATCAGACCATATGCCAAAATTTCGAACGGATATTCTGTGTAAATAAATATGAAATTTGTTACCAAAATTCGATTGACTAAAAGACTTGTTAACAAAATCCGATCATATTTGTTAACACAATGTGATCATATCCGAACCTATTTTCGGCTAAAAAGATTTATCAATCAAAATCCCATAAAATCTAATCATATTGTGTAGAATATTACCCAAAAAAAAAATGCTCAAAAAATATCAAACCATTTACCAATTTTTCGGCCAAAATATTTTGTGTAAATAAATCTAAAATTTGTTACCAAAATCCGATCGGCTAACATATTTGTTAACACAATCCGATCATATTCGAACTTCTTTTCGGCTAAAAAGATTTACCCAAAAAAATCTCACAAAATCCGATCATATTGTACAGAATGTTACTAAAAAAAGATATGCTCGAAAATATCAGACCATTTACCAAATATTCGGCCAAATAATTAGTGTAGATAAATATCGAATTTGTTACCAAAATTCAACCGTGTAAAAGATTTATTAGCAAAATCCGATCACGTTTGTTAACAAAATTCGATCATATTTAAACCCCTAATCGGATAAAAGATTTAAAAAAAAAAATTGTAAACCATTTTGACATGTGGGTTTGTAAGTATTACTTATATTAGTAAGTGAAAGGATTATTTATTAAGTCAAAATTACTATTTTTGTATTTTTCCAACAACCTCTTTATATTACTATAGATATAGATATAGATCTATAATAATAATCTATATAAATTATGACGTATAAATAAATAATAATAATGTGTCGGATTAATATAAAATTAATGAATCAAATAAATGTGGGTTTGACATATTTTATCAAAATTGATTAAACTGGGCCAAAATCTGGTCCATGTAATTAATAGTTATGAGCCTATTAATCATTATATGTGGGCTTAGGGATTAATCTCAGACCAAAGCTTCAGAAAAATCAATCAAGCGATCACGATAAGTCAACAGAAATAGACGGATGAGATTTCTTCACACAGAGTATATAAAGCGAAAAAAATCGGCAATGGTGTCCATTTGTCATCTCTTTTCCATCGGCAAAAGTATCGTAACATACGAATGGCAGCACAACAGTCGAAACATAAAAGACAGATCCTACAATAGTGTGTTGCCATGAATGCTTCATCTTAACAGAATTTTCCAAAATCAGTGATAAGACTCACTTGAGCAAAGGCTTCAGAAGCTATTCATTAGCTACTCCTTAACAGATCTTCACATCGTGAATAGGCCGGTCAGTGTTATCAGTTTGAACATAACCAGAAACAACACATGGTTTACAATAGCATGCTAAAAAGGTTTTAACCACAAGATACACTCAAATGCACCAATACTGCTCCTCGCATAACCTTTCCAAGGTTACAAGAGAACCTAACTTCACACCAAATAAAAGTTGTTGCTGATAAAATAATGTTCCACTGGAGCACATATTATCACAATCCAAACAAACTGCAAATCAATCAATTTAATAATTTTATTTTGAAATGAAAATCCTGACTTTCAAAACTCACAGGACTGAAGGACCTCTCTAAAATAGAGGCATTTACATATTATATATACGTAATATCTATGACGAAGTGTAACAAACACATCATATATTGAAAAGTTCGATTCGCTCTCGCAGTCTTACAATGTAATGAAGTTTCTAGATGCATTAATGTAAGTTCTCTAAAAAATGCTCACCATCCAGAGAGGGTGCAGGTGCCAGAATTATAAAGAACTGGCTCCCGTTCGTATTCGGACCGGCATTTGCCATGGATATGATACCAGCTCCAGTGTGCTTCAACTCTCTACTTATCTCATCCTCAAAGTGCTTACCATAGATGGATTCGCCGCCTCTCCCAGTTCCGGTTGGATCACCTCCTTGCACTATAAAATCCTTTATGATTCGATGGAACTTGACGTTGTTGTAGTAACCTTTCTGTCGCATGCCACCGTCAGAATACTGAGCAGCTTCTTGCCGTGGACGCCATCAATGGAAGCCGCTGGGATAAAAGGAAAAGGAAAAACGTGATTTTTTTTAAAAGATAATGAAGAGTTTTACCAGTAATATAATTATATTGATGTTTAAGATAAGTTGGAATATATCCAAAAAAATCTCTATATTTGTTACCTAAAAAATTGATGTTTAAGATAAGTTGGAATATATCCAAAACAATCTCTAAATTTGTTACCTAAAAAATTGGGATTCCTATGATTTCATAGTTGAGAAAATCCGGTGGTTTCCTAAATAATTGGAAAAATAATCCAGCCAAAATTTTTATACTAGGATGATTCTAGTATTCTGTTTTTTGTCTGATTCTGTTTTGGAATGATTTAAAATAAAAAAAAATCAAAAAATAAATAATTTTTGGATTTTTTTAATTGGTTTCCACAAATGGGAAGTCAATGGTGTTGTTGACCAATTTTTTAAAAGTTTCCACAAATGATTTATTGACCTCTCTTTTTCAATGTATATAGATTTAAGTAATCAGAGAATATGGTAGGATTTACTTGTTGTATATAGAAGGTTGATTCCACTATGGAGCCAACTATTGGCTTCCTAGCAAAACTAAGTTGGATGATGTTTCACCAAACATTATCCAGCCGTTTATGTTCATAAAAAAATACATGTAAAAAAAGATATCCTGTGAAACTCAAAGTTACTACCGGCCGTCGATCGAAATTTTGGATCAGAATTAAGTGTATATTTGGAAGCACTTTTGTAATAAACTTTTGACTATAAAAATTCATTTCTTATATAAAAAGATGTTTGGTGTAAATAACAAAATGGACTTTTAAAAAAATAACTCACACAAAAAGTCCATTTCAAATAAATTTATATTGGACACTTCTTGAGAAATCACTTTTCAAAAAATCCATCTTGACATGGACTTCTCAATAAATGTTTCCAAACAAGCCCTAAGTTTTTCATGAGAATCACCCTAAGAACTTTGTCCACCAATTTTTCATGATCAAAAGTTTCAATCAATTATCGTGATGTATAGTTAGATTATTCAAAAATTAAGCTTTTATATAATGTACTTTTGTATTGAAACTAGTGTGTACCCCGTGCGATGCACGGAAACAATATTAAATCAACAATATTATAAATAGACCTCGAGTTTGAGTCACTCAATGGCGGAAGTGGAAACTACTGTTGATCCTATTTTAAAAGATGAAGAAAAAGAATAATTATAAATTAAAGACCTCGAGTTTCGCTCTGGTTTGGTTCGCTAGTGGCGAGCTCGATTTCGGAGCTTCCGGTGGAGGGCTCGTCTTGCAGTGGGATGTGGGAGTTCGGTGTTTGGTCGGGTTTTGGGGGTGGCTCTGGATGCTCGGCTCGCCGGAGTTGAGTGGGCTAGGGCTGAGGCAGGTCGATTCGAGCCCCCTGTATTCCTCGCTACTGCTGTTGTGACGTGGGGTTTCCGGCTTACCGGATCTAGGCTAGTGGTGTTGGCCGGATCTAGGGAAGCCGGAGTGTGGGGGGGCTGGTCGACTTTCCTCCGGCTGTGGGTCGGTTTTCACTTCTTGGAGTTGTCCGGGGCCTCGGATTTTGGCTTCAGCTAGGCGTTTCGGCAGTTTCGGGAGCCGATTTCTAGGTTGTGGTTCATCTCTGTGGGTGTTTGTCCGTGATTCTGCTGGTGCCTCTGTTGGGATTGGTATTATTGCTGTGGGAAGGGTTGATTATGTTATTTTTAGTTTTTTTTGTTTTGTTATGTGTCGTAGGTGTGTGCTCGTCTTGTGTTTGTCTTTGTGTTTTAGTGTTTTTGGTTTGGGCCGTTGGCCCCTGTTAACCTGGGTGTTACCTTTATTCTCCCGTGGGGAGCCAACACCTAGGCATTCTCTCTGAGGGGAGCTTTTAGTTTTGTGATTGTGCTTTAGTTGTGTTTTTCTCCCGTGGGGAGCCAGTTTCTAGTTGTTCGTTGTTTGAGTTAGGTTTTCTTCTGGCGTTGCCAGCGATTCTAGGCGGACTTCGGTCTAGCCTCCCAGTTTGTAATTCCGCACTTTTGTGCGCCTTTTATATAATTCTTCTATCGTTTCGGAAAAAAAAAAAAAAATATTTTGTATAAGGAAATATAAAATTTGCATTATTTTGTAAAAGAAAATATAAAATTTGGATGTTTAATATTAAAACACCTAAAATATTATATTAGTATATGTAAAAATATTCAAAATTTTCTATATTATTTTTGAAATATGTGAAGTCACCTACAACTTTTCGAAACAATTTTAGAAGGAACATATCTAAAAACATTTGAATTTAACATTGTGTAAAAAATATTTTTCTAGACTATTTTGTAAAGAAAACATGTCTACAAATATTTAACTTTATCATCAATTATGTATATGTGTGTGTGTGTGTATATATATATATATATGCATATATATAGCGAATATGTAAAAAAAATGTCTAAACAATTTATTTAAAGTATCTAAAATATTATAAGCTTAATTTAATAAAGACATCCAGATGATACCGTATGGCGTTAGTTCCATCTAACAAAATTTGATTACACATAATTTCAAAATTATTATTATACTTTTTACATTGTTATCGAGGATGTATTGTTAGTTTACAATATTTGTAAAAACATTAGTAATTAGACCGATGAAAATTAGCAGCGTTGTCATATTTTATTTTTTAAATATGTATAGATAAGGGATGAGATTTTTTAAACTGTGAGACGTATGTAATGGGATTTTGTAAAAGATAAGAGATAAACTCGTGTAGATTTATGCTATGGATAAACTTGTATAGATTGGAATTGGAAATGCACGGATTAGAAGGAAAACATATCTAAAAATATTTGAATTTAACATTGTGTAAAAAAGATTTTTCTAGACTATTTTGTAAAGAAAACATGTCTACAAATATTTAAATTTAATATGATGGGTCTACTCTCAGATCTGGAGTGAACCGGTGGTAAAGAGCTTAGATCTGTTTGAATCGCCTTCGAACCGTTGCTAGACCGCGAGAACACCTGCAAAAACTCAACGCTGGAGGTGTTTCCGGTGTAAAGCCTCCGACGCTCTAGTCAGTATATGGGAGAGATGAAGAGAGGCTGCGCAGTAGCTATGAGGGAGAGTATGGAATGAATGAGAGTTAGAGTTTGGGGTTACCTCACCTCCTTTATATAAGAGTGAATACTTACTTGAAGTACCCGAAATGCCCGGTCGGTTGACCTGTAAGGTCTAAATTGCCCCGGTCGATTCGTCTCCCCTTGCTGCTGAGTCATCACAAGATTCTTTCCTATCCTTTGGAGAATGCAGAGCCTTGAGTATGTTACAAGTGTATGAAGTCGTCAGTGTGCCTCACGTCTCGAGATAGGAGGAGTCGACATCGAACATGGACGAGTCGACCCAGGATCTTCTAGTTATTCGGAGGCTACGCTCTTGTTGGTCTGCCCAAATGGATGTCGACTACAGGGGAGTTGACTGCACAAAGTCGACTTCCAGAAGTCGACTTGTATGGGATCTGCCACTTCTCGCCATCAATCATATGAAGAGTCGTCTTTGAGGAAGTCGACTTGAACATGTCGACGGGTACATGTCGACATGTAAACGGTTTGAGCCGCTTATCCGGTCGAGTATAGAGCCTCTGGGCCGGTATATCTTTATGTTATATGATATATATATATATATATACATATATATATATATAGACGAATATGTAATAAAAATGTCTAAACAATTTGTTTAAAGTATCTGAAATATTATAAGCCTAATTTAATAAAGACATTCATATGATACAGAATTTATGAAATTACTCCAATCTAACAAAATTTGATTACACACAATTTCAAAATTATTATTATACTTTTTACGTTGTTAGTTTATAAACTTTGTATAGATTGGTATTGGTAACGAATTTAAAGGCATAAAAGATCAATTTTAAATGTACGGGTATTTGGTATAGAATGTAAATTGCAAACTCATCTTTTCGAATTATTATCATTTGTACACGTACAAATGTATACAAATAAATATTATTTAAGAATATTAGTGCACAATATTATTTTATTTTAAAATATATTAGCAGATTTTGTGTTGAAAAAAAATAGATTTAAATGTAACAATTATAACCGACGGTTTTGAATACAAAAAAAAAAAGGAAAAAGAAAAAACAGATATACACAATTAAGCTGCCAATTTTTTTGTAAAAGAAATACTAATATTTAGTGTCACCGTTTTGAGTACCAAAAAAATAGGAAAAAGAAAAACAGATATATACACAATTAAGTTGCCGATTTTTTTGCCTTATAAAAAATTGTCCAACAACTACTATATATAGGATACATTTAATGATAATGGCGGGAAAACCTTTCTAAATTTGTAAAAAGGTTATTCTTTTTATATAATGATAGATTCAAAAGCTAAATCATAAGTTAATCATTGTTTCACTAATGACATGTACAAAATTCCTCACATATATTATTTCTAATTTAGCACCCAGAATAGCTCGGTGAACTGGTGACGTAGCAAAAGCGTAAACGAACGAGATAAATAAAAAGAAAACTCTCTATATTATTATTTCAATAAAAACTCAACACCTTCAAAATAATAGAAGAGTTGTCTTTAAATAGAACTGTTAACCCTAAGTAAATGTCTTGCACACTAAGTAAAGAACTCTAATAAAATAAATAAGTTTCTTAACAAATCTAGCATGCCGTTAATAAATATTAAAACAAAACAAATAAATAATTGACCCAATGATGCTAAACAATCATGTTTGTCCAAAAAGACCAAAAACAATCTCGTCTCCATCATTCTTCCCCTCCCGAAAAGGATTCGCCCTCGAATCCGATGCAATCTCGTATCCACAGTCTTGACAGGGCAATTTTACGGGCCGATAACTTGGTATAATCACGAGTAGAAAATCTATCAGTCGTAAATAGGGCCCGCACATAATTGAATACCTCAAACGCGACACGACGACGACACGCATCCGCTTGTAAGATGCATTAGCAGCCTCCGTTAAAAAACTGATCAACCAGTTTGATTCTTTGTTCTTCAGCCCATTTCTCAGCCAAATATTTAGCCCTATGAATCTACTCCTACACATTCTGTGACGCCTATAGATCTCATGAGTCCAACAAATGACATCTCAACCAAATGGTCACCATGGAACATGATAGATGTCGCGGATATTATTGCATACCCTGCTCCAAAATAACCATACGATCGAAGAAGAAGCGTCGGGCCGACGTCCCCCGTCACGTGTTCCTCGTCATAAAAAAAAAGGCAGACCCTCATATTCGGTCGACCATTCGAAATAAAAAAGAGGTGGACCCTCATATTCTGGCGATCCGTCGTCATAAAAAATAGGCAAACCCTCATATGCGGTCGACCAAGGTGGATCTTCATATTCGGTCGACCACTGCTCATCTTCAAGGGCCCCTCAGAATTCGAGGATCTTGACTCGGAATGATGACATCCAACGTCGATCATCGCAAACTAACTCTCGTCCCGCTCCGCCATCGTACCAAATGAATTTACCTCGGAGATGGTGCCCTCAAGATCATCGTCATCGAAGAATGATAGAGGTAATCAATCACGGGGCGCCCCATGAGTATCTCGATCGCGTCTAACGCAAACCCCCCCTCCCTTCCCCCCTACTCCGTCTGGCGCGCAATTCGTATGACTGGCGTGTTCAACGGTATGTAGAGCCAGCCTGATGTCCTCGACCATTGTGGTCAGATTTGCAATTTGGCGCCCTGAAGCCTCGATCATGGTGTCGATCCTGCGACATCATTCCATTTGGGCGGCATGCATAGGAATCGTACTAGTCTGTTGATATCAACTGACGCAGAGAAAGCGTAAACGAATGAGATAAATAAAGAGAAACTCCTTATATGTTTTAATTTCAGTAAAACTCAACTCCCTCAAAACAATAGAATAATAGCCTTTAAATAGAACATCAAACCTTTAGTAAGTATCTTTTCCAACAAGTAAAGGACTGTAATAAAATAAATAAGTTTCCTAACAAATCTAGGACGTTCTTAGTAAATATTAAAATAAAAGGAATAAATAATTAAGCCGTAGGTAAGCTCTATTCGGTCCGGAGCATTGATTCCCCATAACGAATAGGCTGGCTCTATCTTTCAATTACCTATCCTCAAGTTAGAGGAAGAGTCATTAGGCAGTTGATTAGACTGGAAAGCCAATTGATGAAAGATAGAGGTTGTAACAATTCAAACGATCCCACTACATCATAAACGATCATGCTTATCCAAAAAGCTAAACTATCATGCTAAACTTATTTGTATAAACCAATAATGCTAAACGATCATGCTAAACTTATTTATAAAAATAAAAACAAATACTTTTAAATATTCAAATACCTCAAAGTCGTGGAAAACAAACTCCAAAGTGGCAACCTTTGAAAGATTGTCACGTGATGTCTTTGTATAAAATCGTACCAGCCTTATTTTTATACTCTTGTC